ATCCGACATCGAATCGAATCGGGATCGGAAGCCGTTGAGATCGAATCGAATCGAATCGGGGGGATCGGAGTGAGCCCTGAGAATCACGTGCGCCGCCGACACCAAGCGGATCTTACCAGCCTGGAACATATCCCTATCCCTATGCTGGGCACTTCCTCATCACGATGCCAATCTTAGGGATTCCCTTATTTTTTGAGGGCGAATCCCTAAGATTGTCATCGCCTTTTGGCGTGTCAATCTTAGGGATAGGTATACGTTCGAGGCTGGTAAGGTTCCCCAGGGAGAGCTCCAGCACAGAGCGCCATGAGGATCAGCACGGGCGGCCGAGCAAATTCCGTGCAGCGCGAGCCTACTCTTCGAGGGCGGAGGATTCAAGAACAGCGGGATCACGAACGCCAACGCCGACGCTCTATGACGGTCAGCACCGAACTCTTAGCAACGACTGCTAGGCTCTGACCAGAGGTCACGATGAACACACCTTGCGCCGACAAGTTGTGCCTGCGGCGCTGCTTCTTAAACGACGAGGTTAGCTTGAACATCTGCGAAACCCTGGTACAGGAGGTACACACAGACATTGTGACGAGCAAGTCAAACGCAAACAGTTCCTGCAAGGGCAATGCCTTAGTCATTCCTTGCGCATCCTAAATATTTACCCCACGTGATCGCCGTGGACACCGCGCGGCGGCTGCAGGGGTGCGGGGCAACGGACGAAGTGACGTAGACAGACCGCGGCGATCAGAACCTCTAGGACCATGCAGGTCTAGGATCAGTACGGAAGTCATCGACCCGAAGCGACCATGAAAGAACGGCTAGATTAAGCACGGTAATCGCCTTCACGGCCCTCGACAAGAGCGTCTGGTTCGATAGCGACAGCCTCGGCACGGACACATTTATTTGGTGATGCTGCAGACCAGACGCACTGGGGGAAACAACAATTCCTGTCCGCTGAAGCGCTTGCCTTCACGGCCTAAACACACCAGGATTATGTAGCGGTTGCGGCGGAACCACACCAGAAGTCTCGGCACGGACGCACACAGCACGGCCATGGCCACGAATTCGACCCTGAGGCCGAGCACGGAGGTCCGAGCCGCGATGGGCAGCCTCACTGGGCCGCGCCCGTCACAACTTCCCGCCCTCCCTCCTCCAGAGCACGGGAAAAGCCCATGCCCCATGCACGTCCTGGACTGCGGCCCGAAGGGAAGCCGTGGCGAGGATGCTTCCGGCGCAGCGCAGCTTGTGGCGGCACCGTGGCGGGCGGCGCCAGTGCGTTCGTCCGCCATCTCTGGGCCCGGGACCTGGTCCAGCCTGGCCGCGGCGGGCCCCCGGTACCTAGCCCAACAGCCCCAACACCCCCGCGCCGCCTCCAGCGGCGCCAAGCGTTCCGTGCCCCGTGGTTACGGTGTTGAGGCAAGCCTGGGCCACATCCCAGGGGCTGCCTCTTCGCAACCCGAGCCCCGTCAGTTCGGGCACGTGGCGGCTCCTCGGGCACTCTGTGCTGGCCGCTGCCGGTGCCTGCGCAGACAGACTCCGCGGCCGCTGGGCGGCTCTGTTGACAGACGCAGCGATCGCCGCATGCTTGGGTTGTGCGCCACCTTGGGCTTCCACTCGCCTCCATGGGACAGGAGGCGGAGGAGGAAGATGGAGAGAGAGAGAGAGAGAGAGCACAGGGAATGATGCGGAGGGCGGAGGAGATTCAGGAAACGGTGAACTAAGGGGACCTGGGGGATGTCAAAACAGCTGGAACTGAGGAAGGGAAGTAGGAGGAGGCGGAGGAGGAGAGAAAAGGAAGAGAAAGGGCCCCTTTGAAAGGAAGAAAGAGTGGGGTGATTTTGATGATGATGATGATGATGATGATGAGGAGGAGGAGGAGGGTGATGAGGAGGATGGTGGTGGTTGTGATGGTGATGGTGATGGTGATGGTGATGGTGATGGTGATGGTGATGGTGATGGTGATGGTGATGGTGATGGTGATGGTGATGGTGATGGTGATGGTGATGGTGACCACGATAATGATGGTGATGACACTGCTGGTGACGATGATGATGATGATGATGATGATGATGATGATGATGATGATGATGATGATGATGTTCATGATGTTGATTGTGGTGATGGTGATGATGATGGTGATGATGGTAATGACGGTGATGCTGCTGATTATGATGCCAATGATGCGTTTGATGATGCTGCTGATTGTGGTGTTTGTGGTGATGATGATAATTATGCTGCTGCTGATGATGATGATGATGATGATGATGATGGTGATGAGGCGAACTCCTCCTCCCTCTGGCGCAGGTCGGCCATGTAGCGCTCAACGATCTGAATCGACTCCTGGGGATGCCCGCTGCCCCTCGCTTATCGAAGCAATAATTGATGTGAGCTCACACAAAAAACGGATCGGCAACACAATGGCGAAAGAGAGGCTGGCGAGAAAAAAGACGAAGGACCGTGTACCCTTCGTCTTGTCTGCTCCCTAGAGGCCCAGGCACCTGGCGTATACTTCTCTCCCTCCTGGCTCTGACTGTGTCTGCTTGTGCTCGTCACTATCTGCTCCTGGCCCTTCGACGGCTGGGGATCGACAGAACATCGCAAATGAACGAATGACGGGGGCCCTCGGAATCCTACCTCACCGGGGGCAGCTCGAAATGAACCGTGTGCACGCTCAACCCTCCGACCAGCAAGGAGCCAAGCCGTCGGCCACAACGGTGTTGCCGACGACGCTGACGGTGACGCCTTGCGGGCACAAAGCTACGAAAACTCCTGTTGGATCGCTGTCCTGTCACTCTTCCAGCCTGAGGACAGCTGCCGTGATCCCGCCATGCCTCATGTGGGACGCACAAAGACAGACTAGTACGACATGCTCTCCTCGGATGTGCGCATCCGACCCGAACATGTAATATATATATATATATATATATATATATATCCATCTTGTAGTACATCGTTTCCCGCGCGGTGTGGCCAGAAAGCGACCGCCACGACTCATGTACTAGAAGATCTCTCGGTGCGCGCGTCACCCCTGGGGGAACAACGCACACACAGTATTAGTATGTTGGGGTGACGCCGATCATGTTTTCTGTATCTCTTTCCTGCAAATCCTCCTGCCTGCTGTCTAATTCAAAGAGCCGCTGGAAAGCCCGGCCGCCGCCGACGCACCGTCTTTTCTTGCCGTTCTCGCTCCCACATGTAACCGTGAGGTCGGGCATCCCCCCCTAAAGACTGATTTCGAAGAAAAATATAAAATAGTGAAGAAATAGTGCAAAATGTTCAAAAGTAGTCTGAACATCGTCCCCTGACTATGTCATACTATTTCTGAATATTCCTCCTGTAGAGGCACACGCCCGACTTCAGAAACGTCAGCTCCTGTTGGTTGAGGCGGTCACCGTTGCAGGACAGGCAAGCAAGCTCCCTGGGAGGTCTCCGCGGGCGTCTTTGGAGGTATCCAGGAGTTCCCCAGAAATCTCCAGAGGTTTCCAGAGGCCTCGGGAAGCCCAAGGAGGGGCTGAGCACGCACTTAAAAACCACGCTCCTCCTTCTTGCGTTGAGCGGACTCCAGGTGCAAAGCCTGTGGAGTCCTTCTGGTGACCGGAAAAATAACTATAACCGCCTCAGTGCATATAGAAGCTGTGCAAGAGGTGCTAAGAGAAGCGAACAAATCGAGGGCAAATAGTATTAGATCTGCAGACGTCGGCAAAGTAGTCCTCATCCACCTATGCTCCTCCTCCTCCTCCTCCACATCATCATCATCATCATCATCATCATCATCATCATCATCATCATCATCATCATCATCATCATCATCATCATCATCATCATCATCATCATCCTCATCCTCATCCTCATCCTCATCCTCATCCTCATCATCATCATCATCATCCTCAACAGCATCATCATCATCATCATCATCATCATCATCATCCTCATAATCATCATTATCCTCATCATCATCATCAGCAGCATCATCAGCAGCAACAGCAGCAGCATCACCACCACAAGCATCATCATCGCCACCATCGTCATCATCAGCATCATCAGCATCATCATCGTCATCACCAGCATCATCATCATCATCACCATCGTCATCCTCATCATCAGCAGCATCGTCATCATCATCATCATGCACCCTTCATCCTCAATCCTTCATCCTTCATCCTACATCCCTCATCAATCATCCTGCTCCTTCTCCTTCTCATTGTCCTTCTCATTCTGCTGATCCGTCTCCTCCTCCTCCTCATCATCACCATCACCATCACCATCACCATCACCATCACCATCCTCATCGTCACCATCACCATCACCATCACCATCAGCATCATCATCAGCATCAGCATCAGCATCAGCATCAGCATCACCATCACCATCATCATCATCATCATCATCATCATCATCATCATCACCATCACCATCACCATCACCATCACCATCACCATCACCATCATCATCATCATCATCATCATCATCATCATCATCATCATCATCATCATCATAATCATCATCATCACCATCACATTCACACATCACCATCATCAACATCAGCATCATCATAATCACAAGTATCTCCATCATCATCATCATCATCATCATCACATCATCATCATCATCATCACAACCACCACCACCACCACCACCACCATCATCATCATCATCATCATCATCATCATCATCATCATCATCATCCACATCATCATCCACATCATCATCATCGTCATCAGCAGCAGCAGCATCATCATCATTATCATCATCACCATCATCATCCTCGAACTTCGTCTTCCCTTCACCTTCCCCAACCACAGATGCGCTCAACTCGCGCCCCCCCCAGCTCCTCCCCAGGCTCCTCTCCAGGGCCCCGCAGCACTCGGCACCCTCCTGCTTTTTCCTCGGCGCCCCGACCTCCTCCGCTCCGGGAGAGAGAGAGGCGGCCGTGCAGACGCCACCTCCGCAGGCGGGCCCCTGCCCTCTGAGAAGCCCCCCGCCTTCTTAGGAGGCCGCCGCCGCCCCCCCCCCGCGCCCCGCCCCGCTCGCGCGCGCCGCCGGCCCTCCCTGGGACGGGCCGCTGGCCGCGCCGCTCCCCTCGGGCTGCGGCAGCGAGCCCCCGCTGCAGGGGCACGCACAGCTTGGCACACCGGCACCGCTCCTCTCCGGCCGCCTCGTGGGGCGCCTCGAGGGCCAGAGCCTCGAGGAGGAGGGACTCCAGCCGTGGCGCGGCGAGGGCCCTCCTCGGGGACGCACACCGACCCGGGCCAACGCCAGCCCGGGCCAGGCAGGCCTCGCAGGGCCCTGCAAGATCCTGCAGGGTCCTGCAGGATCCTGAGCCCCAAGCCCGGGCCAGGGGCGCCCCTGGCCCTGCAGGATCCTGCAAGAGCCGGCGCTCTGACTGACCCCCGTTGGCATCGATCCCCGTCGCTTGAGCTCCGACCCCCAGGACGAGCAGCGGTATCTAGGGGGCCACATGCGAACCCTACCCCTACCCCCCACGATTTCTGACGGGGACGGTGGGGTTCATTTCGTTCGGGAGCTCCAGAGCGAAGTGAACCCCACCCTCCCCCTCGGAAATCGTGGGGGGTAGGGGTAGGGTTCGCATGTGGCCCCCTATAGCGGCACCTCTTGCTCCTCCGACTCCCAGGGCGGCGGCCGCACGCGGCCACGCCACCCCCTCCGCTCAGGAGCCGCCCGCGGGCGGCAGGGGAAGATCCTGCGGGAGCGGCAGCTCGCAGAGGCGCACCTGCAGCCCGCGGGCCCCGCCGGCCGCCTCGCGGCCGCGCGGCGTCAGCCGCAGGTAGCTGTTGATCCCGTAGGCGTTGAACGCGAAGTCCTCGCTGAGGTGGCCCTCCGCCAGGAGGCGGGCCAGGATGCGCTCCACCCGCCGCGGCGCCGCCGCCTTGCACGCCGGATCTGCCGGGGCGCCGCCGCGCAGCGCGCGGGCGGCTGCGGCCTCGCTGCGGGCCACGTCGACGGCCTTCAGAACGGTGATCCTGTCGCCCCCCGCGGCTTCGTTCGCAGTCGCGGTCGCCAGCGTCCGCAGCAGCGCCCGCGCGAGCGCGGCGTCATCACCTCCCCCTGCGGCCTTCGCCGGCCCGCGTCGGCACACGTCGCAGAGCCCACGGCAGTCGGAGGCCTGCCACTCGTCCCCGAAGTAGCGGGCAAGCGCCTTCCGCCGACAGGGCTGATCCCCGGCTGGGTCGACGCAGAGCAGCATCTCGTAGACCAGAGCCACGTTCCGCTCGCGGTTCACATTCTCGGCCACGAGTGACGTGAGCCGCTGTACGTCCGCGGGCCGGTACAGAAGCACGCACTCCGCTGGGCGGCCATCTCTGCCGGCACGGCCACTCTCCTGGTAGTAGTTTTCCACCGACTTGGGCAACGTCTCGTGCACCACGAACCGCACGTCTGCCTTGTCGATGCCCATGCCGAAAGCTATAGTGGCAACGACAACGCTAGCCTCGCCTGCCACCCATGCTCGGTAGGCCTCCTGCCTGTCCGCCGGCTGCAGTTGAGCGTGGTACGGTACTGCGCGCACGCCCCTCTCGCGCAAACCCCTGGCCACCTGATCGACGTCCTTGCAACTAAGGCAGTAGACAAGCCCGGAGGCGCCTCGGTGCCGGGCGCTCGCAAACTCCGCGAGCCAGTCGAGGATGTCATCGCGCTTCTCCGGCTTCGCCGCGACGGCGTAGAACAGGTTCGGCCTGTTGTAGCGCCCCCGCAGCAGCAGGCACCCGCGGATCCCGAGTTGGGTCTCCACGTCCTGCTGCACCGCCTCGGTTGCCGTGGCGGTCAGCGCCACGATGGGCACCCCGGGGAAGCTCTCGCGCAGCACCTCCCGGAGGGGCCAAAGTTGTCCCTGAGGCGTCTCCGCCTTCTCGTGCTGCCATGGAGAACCCGGGGCCCTGTGGGCATCGCGAGGGGTGCCATGGAGGCTGCCTGGTTGCCTGGAGATCCTGACACCTTTGGCCAAGGACACACACACACACACACACGGCAACGCCCGGACCTTCAGCTTCAGGTAGTCGGGCCGGAACTCGTGCCCCCACTGGGAGCAGCAGTGCGCCTCATCGACGGCCACCAGGCGCAGCAGCCCCGCCTTCCACGCCTGCTGCAGCTTCGCGAGCGCCATCTTGCTCTTCGCCAGGAACTCCGGGGTGGTGTAGACCAGCGTGGCGGTGGCCGCCCCCAAGGCGGCCAGCGTCTCCTTCCGCTCCACCTTGTCCGCGTCCGAGCTGAGCATGCGCGCGTCGAGGCCCACGGCGCGCATGCTGCGCAGCTGGTCGTGCATCAGCGCCAGCAGCGGCGAGACGACCAGGACCACGCCCCGCGCTCCCACGCCCTTGGCCTGGCCGCGCCACAGCGCCGCCGGCAGCTGGTAGCAGAGCGACTTCCCGCTTCCTGTGGGCATCACAGCGAAGACGTCTCGCCCACTCAGCACGGCGTTGACTGCCTCCTGCTGCAGAGGCTTGAAGCCACCGTGCCCAAAGACATCGCGCAGAGCCTTGGCCACCGCCGCGTCCCACGCGAAGCCGCCCGTCCAGTCCTGCGCAGCCGCCTCCGCGCGGGCGCGCGCGGCACTGGCGTCGGCGAGCCCTCGCTCCAGCCCGCTCTCCTCCTGGACCAGCTGCTCCTCGCGCGCTCGCAGCGAGGCGATGCGGCGCCGGACCCCGCCCAGCTCCTCGCGCACGGCGGCCAGCCTCGCCTCCGAGGCGCCCTCTGCGGCGCCCGAGGAGCCGGCCTCCTCTGCGCGCCTGCGCTTGGGGCCCGGCTCGACCGCCGCCGCCGCTGCCTCCCGCATGGCGCCGCCCCGCCCACTGGGGCGGCCGGAGAGCCGAGACCGGCCCACCAGGGTGACGGCCCAGGCCACCCACCAGTCGGGTCGGACGCAGGGGGAGGAGGGCGAAGCGGAGGAGGAGGAGGAGGAGGAGGAGGAGGAGGAGGAGGAGAAGGAGGAGGGGGGAGGGGGAGGGAGGGGGG